GCCGAAGCGATGGCACGAAAGCTGGACATCGACATCCCAGGACTAGTGAGTTGAAAAGGACGTAGGCTGAGTCCTAACGTATAAAGAAGAAGAAGAACCAGATGAATCCTTTATCATCTTGTAGGGGACACTTTGGAGCATAGGAAATGAGAACTTGCAACTTTTTTTGGTAGAACCGAAATTTGAAAATGGCCCTTAAACGTGACTGAGCTCGAATTTATAAAAATACTTACTTGAAAAATTCTCTATGCCCCAAACTGTCCTCTACAAGAGGTTATATCTTCGAATCTTTAATGTGGAAAGGAAGGCGGAAGCCCAAGATGAGTGTACTCTGTCCGAACCAGGAAGGTAATAGTCACGATCAGGGCCCCCGCCAGACCTAAAGCCGCTCGCGTGCGATTTCATATTTTGGCGCCCCCTATTTAGGGCCAGTTTCTCAATAGCAAATCACCCCCGGGTTAAACTCCAGGGTAAACATTGCATGGACACGTTTACCCTGGCTGGAGTTAAAACCAACCCGGAGGTGCTTCGCTGAACTGAATTTACACTGCAAAATTGAGAAATATCAACTGAAATATCAATATTCAAAATGTTTTTTGCTTTACCAGTAAACACAAAAAAAATTACAAAAAATTGACTTTTCTACTTTTAATTGTGGCAAAATCTTTCAAAACATCTTCAACATTAATATAAAATCTGTTTTTTTTTTAAAGATAAAAGTCAAAATGACATTATGTTGGCAATACAATGTAAAATTGTCAATGCTTTCAAATTTTTTATGTAGAAAGGGCTTGTGTTGCCAACATAGTTACTAAATTTTTGACTTGGGGAATTATCTTTAAATAAAAAACAAACTTTAGTATTATAAAAGATCACATTCTATGGACAAAATCGCTAATCCAGATAACCTTTTTTGTAACATTGTAGATCTTAAATGGTTTTTTAATAAAAACTCTGAACTACATAAGTAATTGATAATAATCCAGAGTAATTTTGCAAGAACCAAGAGAAAAATTTCACAGGAAAATTGGCCCATTGTCTGTACGGAGCTAAGAGGCGACCTGCAGCCTGATTCTCGATACGCACGAGGGCGCAGGACTGGGTTCTAATAATTTTCAGTCTTTGTCACTCATATGTATAGGATTTACATGGAACTGAGAAGGACAGGGCACTTGTTCCCAGACGAGCGCTGGGCGTTTCGAGAATCAGGTACCAGGTGCCTGGCCTTTGAATAAAAAGGAAAATAATTGAAACACTTTAGGAAAAATTTTTAATTATTAAATATAATAAATTATAATTTTTTTTATATATTTTTTTCTCATGCGATTTGCCGCCCCTTAGCTATGCCGCCTGCGTGCGCCGCACGCCTTTGCGCTTATGGTAGCGGGGGCCCTGGTCACGATCATTGAAAACATAAACCTGTAATACAGGCTCAATAGTAACTTTGGAGGAGTCTTCAAATTCGTATCTATGTAGCATGTGGTCAACTGGTTTTGTCTTCACATTTATGCATTCTTTTATAATCCTCATGTGGCCGACAAAGTCCCCTTTCTTTAATTTTAAGGACTGCATTCTCGAGGATCCCATGTAGGCTTCTTTTCTCACTATTATAGTGGGGGAGACCCAACATGACCTCCATTGTGGTGGTCGGACAGGTGCTTATTGCTCCTGTAATTCCAAGACATGCATACTTTTGTACAGTTGCCAATCAGTGGTATTGAGGGGAAACTGCAACTATTTAAGGAAATAACACAGAGCAGGGCCGGATTTAGGCACAGGCAACCGAGGCAACCGCCTAGAGCGCCACAACTAGGGGCGCCAAATTGCAAACAAATTTATTTCGAGTGAACAAGTTGTTTAAAAAAAAAAGATTTATGCTACAAGGATAATAGGGACATAATAAAAGATTCAACAAGTCCGGTAAAAGTTAATTTACGTGTCATCACTGTTACCTGTCACCGCTCATCAAGGCACTTTCTATCGGCTTTGTCTCAAGATAGATTGAACGGACTTTCGCTCTAGGAATTGAAAATGTTATAACCTTTGACCATTGAGCACACTCGATGGTTCGATGGTTATAACATGTTCGATGGTCTAGATTATAGGTCGGTTCTCCTCACAGAAATCACAAACAAGTCAGAGGGTTTTTGATTGGTGCAAATCGCCAACAACCAGTTTTAAGATTATATTCAACCAATGAAACTTCCTCTAACTGATCTGTGATTTCTGTGAGAACTTGTGAGAACAGACCTATCAACTAACTCATCTCTGACTTTGCAAGACGTAATAAAGCCAGACGGGTTCATTTTCAGTGTTGATAATTTATAATTTAATTAGTTTTGAGAAATTATTTTAGTGTTTAGTTAATTTCAAAAATACATACTACAGGGTGTCCATTTGAAAACTTCCAATGCGAATATCTCTGAAAGTAAAAAAGTTAGGAAAACGTAATTTAGTAAAAATGTTTAACGGAAATATGTTGGTTTTATAGTTGCCCCTACCCCTACCTATTTAACATTTGTAACTACCAAATTACGTTTTTCGAACTTTTTTACTTTCAGATATATTTGCATTGAAAGTTTTGAAATTGACACCCTGTATATATCTACAGTATAGATCTGTTCCCACAGACATCATTACCTATCAGAGCATCAGAGCGAATTTCATTGGTTGTAAACTATCAGAAAACTGGTTGCTGGCGATTTGCACCAATCAAAAACACTCCGACTGGTTTGTGATTTCTGTGAGAAGAGACCTCATGTAATAAGTAAACATGATATACTTATTTGAAAAAATTAAGTTACTTTTTTTCTTTTATTCTCCTACTGTCTTAACGATAGCCTAAAATTAATTGTTTATCATATTGATCCTTAACAATTTTGACAATAGAATTTGAAAAGGGGGGCGCCAGAAGGAACTTTGCCTCGGCATATAATAGCTACTGGACCGGCCCTGACACAGAGTTAAATTTTTGTTAAACTACATTATCAATTAACTAAAAGATTTATTTTATTAGAATAGTATAGTGAAAATAAGGAAAAATTGTAAGTACATTTAAGAAAATTAGGACTTAAGTATTTAACCGTTTATTGCAATGAATCAATACTATGATGCAAAGTGAAATGACTATTGGACATTATTGCAATTTAATTGGTTTTGAGAGAAAGGACTATCGAATATTTTTGCTAAGGGAATGGTTAGGGAAATAAACAGCACATGCCTATTGCCAATTATTAATATGAATCATTGACAATTTTACATTGTATTGCCAACATAATGTCATTATGACTTTTATCTTTAAAAAAAAACAGACTTTACTTCTTAACCAGCTTAACCGCGTACACGCGTGTCGGTCAAAAAGACCGACCATTGATAAAATCAGTAATAACGCTACTGGTACAAGGGTGGCAGTTTTGTCCGTCCAAGAATACCTGATGCAGGTTTTCCTCTACCCCATTTGCCCAAAAATATTTTGGTTTTTGGTTGAAGTTTTTTTTTTGTTGTTTTCATAGTCGGTGCTTTTGACTAGGTGCTTGAACCTGAGTATCTAAAATATTAACTAATATTCTTTTGGCTGTCGATAATACGGTAACTGTACTGCATAATTAATTCCCTTTGTAATGATTATGAATTCTAGGACTTATAGTGCTTGTACACTTTTTTCGCGGAGACGATCCCAATCGTATCCTGAACGCCAAGGCATGACTTACGCAGGTAATATTTGAAAGTTTCATGTCTCTATTGATTAGTAAACCTGCGTAGGTCTTGCTTTAGCGTTCAGGATACGTTTGGGATCGTCTCCGCGAAAAAAGCTAATAATTCATGTAAACGTTTTAGACTGTGAGATAGGGCCTGTTTAGTGTGGAGTCATTTTTTTTTTTGTCTGGCATTTTGAGGGCAAAATGTGGCTACCAAGCTGATGAGAATATGGGTGATTTTAATGCCTGCCTCCCGTACGAAAAGAAGAAAAATTTTTATTTACACGAGGAATTTTTTGTTAATGATCTCAAATTTTTTGGCTTCTAAATAAAAGATTGACATTGATAAATAATTCACCCATAAAAAATACCAGATATGCTTTTCAATAGCTGAAAAAGTGGGGATGAGTGTCAACTTCCAGGAGAAAAGAAAAGAACCTTCCGCGTTTACTTTTTGTCTGGTAATCGAGAGAATGAAAGGTTTTGTTGTGAAAATATCGCTGAAAAATCGCCAGACGGTAATCCCAGTTCGAAGTCGAGTTTTCCGTCGGAACATTCTGTGGACATTTCGAACAGGTGGCAAGCACTAAAACCACCTATATTCTCATCAGCTAACTAGCCACATTCATCCCTCAAAATGCCAGACAAAAAAAAATGACTCCACTAAACAGGCTCTATCTCACGGTCTATTTGGGCAGTCGGTCGATTTGACCGAACGCGTGTAATGACGTAAGTTTTCTGACGCGTGTAATGCTGGGTTAATTATCGTGATTTCTAAATTTTGCAGGTTGAAAATTTATTCCCAACCTGCAAATTTCCTGCAAGGTGACTACTTGATAGATTAGCTACAGATTCCCACGTGGGTTACGTCATTGGGTACATGTGGCACATGCTATGCAAAAATTATTATTCTAAAAAAATAAATAAATAGAAAATGTTTGATGATCACTTATTATGCGCAAAGCCCTTACTGACACAAAATAAAATTAGTCACAAAAAATATGCACTTTTTGGGAAAATATGCTAGAAAAATTGTTTTCTGGGGTACATTTGTACCCCACCCGAGAAGACGAAGGTTGATGTAATTTTTCTGTCTAGTTAGCTGATTTCAAATTGAAGATTTTTATAAAGGCTTGGTGTCCAAGAGAAGAGTATAATCAGATCCGGACAGCCTCGACAATGCTACAGATACAAAAAGCCCGTCATCCAAGACAAGATTGCTTCCAGAGGGGTATGGCATAATCCACAGGAGGCAGATCTTAAGACAGTGCCAGTTTTCGTAAGGTCTGAAATTAAACTCTTTCTGGAGTATAAATTTTTTATTCCTATCATATTGTAGTCATTCCAATTATTCTAAAACTATGCCTAAGTATGAAACATTTTTACAATCTCAAAACCATTGCTACGCTAACCAACAAACCAAACACCGAAACACTTATAGCGGTTCCAGCAGATCTACCGGTTCCAGGAGCGTAAATTGTCGATTTATCTCCAAGACTGCGGCTTCCAGTGTTAATGTCGCTTTTGCCACTTCCAGAATTGCACAGGTCGGTTTTGCAAGATCTTTGATAACTTCTAAAAGTTGCGTCTTCGGTGACACCGTCCGCTGGTACTTTGTCGACACAATTTCTGTTTAGCGAAGCGAGTTTACCTCTTGGATCCTAGAAATTAGTAGATTTATTTATGTAATAAAATACATTTATCTTGCAGCGATTCATATGAAAATTCTTTGCTACTAATGGTTTTGTTGTTTCTAGAATTATTAGGTAGGTATATCAAAAATTTTCTAAAGTTCTGGAAGCAAGATTTGTTTGAGTCTTCTTTCTAAGCCTTAGAAGCATCCAAATCTCAACATGAGTGTTTTTGATTTAAATGTGTTTCCTTAGACATGTAAAAAGTATCAAATCTTTTCAAAATTTGACATGTTCGATATCTAGGAAACTTCAGTAGTCTATAAAAAGACAAGCTTGACATTGGAAATTTAGAATTTTTCAAATCTCTCAGCAATTCCCTAGTGTTTGTCTTGAAGAAATTAAATATACCTGCATAGCTGCATATCTGCAGAACATAGATTATCAATAGAAGGGTCCAAATTATGAAAGTTTTCCAAGATGTTTTGATCTATTATTGGTATTATAGATTCAAAAATACTATATCAATATCACAATCATTTTTTTTTTTTTTTTGATAGATTTGGAGAGTAGGTACCTACTCAATATAAACAATAGGTACTTAATGAAATTAAAAATATATAAATCAGATACTTTAGATCTGAGAATAGTAAAACTAAATATTTCTTATATAATCAAAATATCTTACTTTGTAATCAATCCTGGTAATTGTACAATATTTTTTATCACAATCAGTTATAGCGTTCTTGCCTATGCCTACAACGTCGTCAGCACAAGAAGTATCTGCATCGTTTTCGGTTGCTGAGCAGGTGTAACATTTCAAACCTGGAATAAATATTGATTGAAATTATAATCGAAACTAATCATGATAGAAAAAATCTCACCATAAGAGTTTTCAAATGATAAACACAACAACACTAAACTAAGAAGTCTAGTTTTAGTAGACATCCTAAAGGATCAAGAGGTATCAAACTTTTAAAACAAACAACAATGAAAACATTATTAAAACTTAAGCCTGATTTGATAAGATAATCAAAAAAATCACATATGATTATAAATTGACAAAGATTGATGGGAAGGTTTGGGAATTGTTAATATCGAATATGTTTTCGTTTTACATTCAGATTTTTATTTTATCTTTATTAGCTTTTTATCAATGAACGATTAGCTATAGGATTAGCAGATATTTGATATCATTGATGTTATCATAAAGTTTTTTTTTTATGGCAGATAAGAGAAAGTGCATTTTTACCAGAAAAAGTTAAGCACGGTGAAAAAAAGAAAAGAAAGCTTGCTGATCAAAATCTCTGAGAAGACCTTCCACAAAGGTAGAAAAACCCAAGGTTTTGAGAGGATGTGAACACAAAACTACTTTAGGAACATCATTGAAGAGTATAGTTTTGGAAGTGGAAGATACATACCTCTTACAAACAGTAAACACTATTACAAAATTTAAATTATGAATTATTAAAGAATTGCTAGTCTCATGACATCGCGAGGTTTCTGAACTTGAAATTGAAGGCATATTAGCCAACCAAAAAATATTAAAAGCAAGACTAAAGTAATTAAATTGAAGGGGCTAAGTAACAGATTCATACAGGGTGTATCAGGTTTGACTACAAAAATTTTAACACGTGAAAATATGGCCCATTTTGAACAACAAAAGTTTATACAACATGGGGTCCAAACTTAACCATTTTTGAGAAAAAGGCCTTTTAAGTTTTGACATGTTTTAACGAATATTTTAAAGGTAAAGAAAATTGTATTCATTATGAGATGTAGATAAATTTAGTTTATCGAATAATTAAGTAATTATTCATTTTTAGTCAACAACAATAACAAAAAATTGGAAAAACAACATACAAATTTCACTTGTAAAAGGGTATCTAAACATCTGGCAACACAGCACAATAAGGAATAGCTGGTTGAAGGTTGAACTTTGGTGGAGCTGAATAAATTGATTCTCGATTCTCTTCTCTAGTTGGGAAAACCGCGTAATTCAGATTCATTCTTGTTTAAAAATAAAATGTTAAGAAACATCGAATATGCAGCTACTTGTTTAGGCATAGAAACCGAGGCATAAACGTTGCAAAATGCTCATTGAGCCGCCATAAACAAGGAAACTAGGGAAAGGATTTCCCAAAAGAAAAGCACCCACCTGATGAAAGAAAATTGTGCCCGATTTACAAAGATTGCGTGATACAGGGAGTGTGAGTTGTGAGTGTGCAAAATCTGCGTGTTGATTTTAGTGCTTTGAGATCCTTTTAGCAAAAATTAATTTTTTCATAATAAGGATTTGACAAGTAGCTGAGTAAGTATTATTTGATTGTTCTCTAGAATGTTTAGTGTAAAAATGTCATTGAGTGCAATTCACAACTTAATCAAACGGCACATTTTTTTATTTTTACTAGAAAAGTGATAAAAATGCAAGTTATTAGTTACATTATTTGAAAGCCAATAACAATGCAAGACGTAAACAAATGGAAATAAATAAACTCGGTGCAAAAAAAAAAACTTTATAAATTTACCAGTTTTATTTACATTTATATCCTGGCAGAGATAATACGTCTGTACAATGTTGTTACGTTGTTAACATTTTTCTTAATTTAAATTCTGCGATAACTCCGAAAATACTAACAATTGACCCATGGTTAATAGGACAGTTTTAGCTTGAAATGGGCCATATTATCTCATGTTGAAATAGTTGTACTCATACCTGATACACCCTGTATATAAAAAAAACATTATTTATGGCAGACACGTGTTCGGTATCCTTTGATACATGATATATACATTGCGACATCTTCGGCTGAACAAAAAGGTAATTATATTTCTTAGAAATAGCGGGAGCGAACGTATCGAAATAACGCGAGTTGATGGTGGGACCAAAAACTATTTGAACAATCAGGTAGCGAGAACAAAAATCAGTCATCAGTCTAGAGTGGAAAGTCTAAAAGTAAACGGTTATCAGATAAAATTCGTTTGACTATATCTATTATATAAGGAACAAATCTAATGGCAGAGCAGTTGCTTCTCTATACATTATAAATGCTGCGATAGCATTACCAAATTATGTTTCAATGTGAAAAAAGTTATTTCCAATGTAATATTGAATTCAATAATAAGGTTATAATATAACTCGGGGTAAGAGAAGGATAGAAAAATAAACAAAAATAAATTAAATTAATTGTGTTTATAGAAAAAGCAGAATAAACATCAGAGAGAGAGAGAGAGAGAAAAAGAGTGGGGGAGCGAAACGTGCGACAAATACCAAACACATAGCTTTTTTAATTTTGTGGATGCAATAAAGGTCCAAGTTGTAATATTAAAGTTCCGCAAATTAATTTGTCGAATTTCGGGCTGGTTGGCTGGCTCGGCGTTTTATTAAGGACGAGTGTGATCTAAGTAAGTGTTGATCTTGTCCGATCCGAATGAATCAGAAACCAATATCCGAGGGTGGATATGAATGCGGGATGAAAGAACCCTAAAGCGTGAGGGGGCGCACTGTCGCATTGAATCGACGTTCATATGGTAATCGCCTGAAGAAATCCGTGGCACAATGGCATTAGAGCCAACTTATTACGTTTACATTGATCTCGAGGTTTATATTTTTTGTTGGTTGTTTGTCTTTATATTTAGTTTTGCACGAGAGATTAGAGAACTTCGAAAAGTTATTTGAAACGTTGTGTCAATAAACGAAATAGGTATTTTTCTCATTAAGTTAACATTACTGAAGGAATGGGTAATCGGCATTAGGATGATATTTGTTCTAGTATTTTGCAGCAATTTTCATTTTTTTTTTAGATAGAAAATAGGCACGTACAAAAATTACAAAGATATAATTACCTTCAAGTTATGTAGGTCTATCCAGGTGAGACTAACAAAATAGAATTTCTAAATAGTAAACTGAAGAAATAAACCTAAATATTGACATGCAAATGTACAACTTATCAAAAATGTAAAGAATACCGCATTTGTAATTATGTGCTGATTTCTCTTCTTATTAAATTCAGAGCGGTATTGAGAAGATCTATATGGGAAAAGTTCTGATTGTAATTAGACGTGTCATGATGCAATTCAGACCATAGTTAGTTCTATGTACAGGTTGGAAAAAAAGCTGCATCTGTCGGGTTCTTCTTCCAGTAACCAGAAATCCAATTTCTGTCAGAAGTTCGGGTGAGCCGGTAATGTTTTGCAGAATTTTGTTGATAAAAATTATCTGGTCATTTTTGCGTCGATTCTCGAGGCTGGGTATGCCGCAGAGCTGTAGACGAGTGTAACACTTAAGCTTCTGGTTGGGAAATCTCAGTTTGTAGAGCAGGTATTTAGCTAATTTATTTTGCACCCGCATAATAGCCGGAGAGCCAGCGCCGAAAAAATTCTCTGAATTTACTAAAGCCAGTTTTTGGTCAGTTGATTACAGTACTTACGTAATAAACATACCTCGGTCAGTCAAGCGAAATTTGGGACAAGGACCTAGGGTGTCTGGTTAAGGTCGCGTTAATGGCCGCCATGTTTAAATTTGGTTTTTGAAAATGACCACTACGTCACTCTACACATAGGGTTCAATATTTTATTATTTGTCCAAAACAAAATCTGTTTGTCGGTGAAACACTTAGTGACAGAGAAAGACAAATATACAATTATGATGCTCCCAATGTAGCTTTTTAGATGTGGCGCCATCTACTTGAAATTGCTTGAACTCTTTTCACCTTCAAAATTCGTTTTAAGGTCATCTCAAAAAATCCGCAATAATTACCAAAATCCTTTGGCATAAACATTATTTGATATATTATCTACAATCTCTAAATTAGCTTTTTTTAGTTTTTCGTGGTTATCAATAAAATATGCTTTTAGCGGATCCAAGCTTGATAAGCATGCAAATATGCAACCACCAATACATTAAATTGTTTTGGTGGTTGCGAACATGATTTTTAAATTTTGAAAAAAAGGCTGAATATCGAAAAACCAAAATAAGGAATTGTAGATAATCGATCAAGTAATGTTTATGCCAAATTTGAGCCAATTCTGATGTGCCGTTTTTTTAAAGACCTTAAAACAAGTTTCGAAAAATCAACCAATCACAGTTTAAACATGGCGGCCATTAACGCGGCCCTAAAGTTGTCGAGATAGCTTAGGTAATGCAACGAATTTATTGAGGCTGAAAATCGCTATACATATTATATATAACACATAAATAACAGTGATGTTTGTCAGTCAGTTGAATAGCGGAACTGGGCCGGTCATTCAGCCCCTTTGAGGTAGTTCAACCCCAATTTATGTAAAAATAATAATAAGTCTATTTTTTTTTAGAGTGACAGTGTGACAATGACAATTCGAAATTGTAGGTTGAAGTATAAATTAATAGGTTTGTTCAGTAATGTTAATATTTTTACCTACGAGCGTGCGGTAAAGTGCACTTTACCGCACGTATTTGCAAATGGAAAGTATCACTTTACCGCACACTATGCGGTAAAGTGCACTTTACCGCATAGTGTGCGGTAAAGTTAACTTTACAGCATAGTATGCGGTAAAGTAGAATACAAAGTGTGCGATATAGTGCACTTTACCGCATAGTGTGCGGTAAAGTAGAATTTGATATTTATAATCAAAAATCCTCTCTTTTTCAAAAAATGTATTTTTGATAATTTCTATATCTTATCTAATTTCATTAATTAATCTGATTCATTAATTAATTTTATCAATACCTTTTTTTGGAGATGTAGTTGCTCATAGGTAAAATTTTGTACCTAACACATGCGGAAAGTGCCTTTACCGCCCTTAACGACTTGACCGAACTCCGCTTCGCGTCGTTCGGTCAACTGTCGTTGCGTGCGGTAAAGTATCACTTTCCGCATTTGTTAGGTAAATAACTATTTCCTACGACTGCCTCTGAAAATGGAGTTTTTCGCACGCTAGACAACCTCTGAAATTAGAGTATTTCGCACAGCGTGCGAAAAAGTTTTTCACGCGCATTTTAGCGTGCGAAAAAGTTTTTCACACGCTCCTCAGCGTGCGAAAAAAAATTTCATACGCTTCAAGTTTTCTAACAAATGGAAATTACATATTTGGTTGTTTTATTTTGCAGTTGTAGGAAAAGCATTGTAAAAAACTCGTTTGAAAACCTTTTTTCACACTTGCTCTACTTGTGGAACTCGCCTACGGCTCGGTCCAACAAAACTGTCTCGCCGTGCGAAAAAAGTCGTTTTCAAAACTTGTTGTTTAAATAACTATTTGCAGATTTTTACATTTATTGAGGCTGACTGACCAGCACGGTCCCGCTATTCAACTGACTGACTAACACTACTGTTATTTATATCGGGTCTTCAAAAAAAAAAACAATCTAAGATTGCTATGGTTATTTAAACTATTTCTTAGCAATATTTTTATTTAATTTTCTCAATGAACTTTAATGTCAAAATGATTTGTCAATAATACTGTCCAATAAATAAACAGTAATGCGACGTACGTTTTCGTAATCAAAGCAATCTTCGATTGTTTTTTTTTTTTGAAGACCCGATATGTTATATATATTATGTATAACGATTTTCAGCTTTAGTAAATTCGTTGCAATACCCAAGTTATCTCGACACCT